TTGCAGTGCAATCACATCAGATATCACACATCCTGGAAAGCTTGGCAGCAGCATTTTTAATATTCTTTTCATAAAAAGATTCTGAGCTTCCATATGGCTGAAACAAAAACCCTCAAGCCTGAAAGAACTTGAAAAATACACAGAAAAAAAACACATAAACGCATAAAAAGAAGCTTTAAAATTGCCTAAAAATTTATTCAGGGCATAGTCTGCTGCAGGCAGGAGGAAGCATTTTCTTAGTCTCCCCTCCTCCAATGATCAGTCTTCTGCAGGGAGGAGGAAGCATTTCCTCAGTCTCCCCTCCCCCAATGATCAGTCTGTTGCAGGCAGGAGGAAGCATTTCCTCAGTCTCCCCTCCCCCAGTGATCAGTCTGTCATAGTTATTCGAATGGGATAATATGTGAATGTATTATGTACAAAGCAGTTATCACTAATGGGTCCACTGCTCACATTTTGTGTCATTGCCCCGAGTAGTTTAGCTCTACTTCTGGCCACATGCCTATAAACACTAGTTAAAGGGCCAGTCCACCCAAAGGTTATAATTTAATTATAGGTGGAACCTGCTGGGCTCATTCACCCCCTGACTTCTTATATACCTTGGATACTTCTACAATGAGAACTCTTGGCCATAAATTTCAGCTCTGTTCCTGTGAATTTTGGGTTCCTGTCCAGCTTTGTGTGTTTCAGCTCCTCCTTTTACATTTTCCATAATTCGCAAAGGGATGGTGATGGCCTCTCATAATGGGCACAGCAGGTGTGCAGCCCCAGGAACTCAGCACAGGGATGGTGGGAGCTCCTCATAATGGGCACAGCAGGTGTACAGACCCAAGAACTCAGCACAGGGATGGTGGGAGCTCCTCATAATGGGCACAGCAGGTGTACAGACCCAAGAACTCAGCACAGGGATGGTGGGAGCTCCTCATAATGGGCACAGCAGGTGTACAGACCCAAGAACTCAGCACAGGGATGGTGGGAGCTCCTCATAATGGGCACAGCAGGTATACAGACCCAAGAACTCAGCACAGGGATGGTGATGGCCTCTCATAATGGGCACAGCAGGTGTGCAGACCCAGGAACTCAGCACAGGGATGGTGGGAGCCCCTCATAATGGGCACAGCAGGTATACAGACCCAAGAACTCAGCACAGGGATGGTGGGAGCTCCTCATAATGGGCACAGCAGGTGTACATACCCGGGAACTCAGCAACCTTGCAGGCTGAACGAAAGAAAAAAAAAATCAAAAAAAAAAATCACTCTAAGTGATGCAGACACTGCTGCATTCATTAATCACAACACAGAGACTGCTCAGGTGGTTATAACAATGGCAAAAAAAAGCACATGGTGAAAAGAAGAGCAATTTGTTCAGAACAAAGAGAAGGATATAAAGCTGCCAACATTTGCTAAAAATCTGTGCAATCTGTTTTGTTTTCTAACAGTAACAGACGTGACTCTTAAATGCAATCACTGCTTTGTGAATCAGGCCCCATGTTGCCTAAATGCAGCTCTTGTAAACAAGCGCCTGAAGTGTCATAACACGGATCTGTGTTGATCCATTCTCCAGTTGGGGCTGGCTGCCCCTCAGCAAACAGGAGAATTGTCAGGATTCACACTGATGGCTGTGTGCACTCTGCTGGGACCTTCTGACGTCAGGCGGGTGATGTCTTTGGCAGCTCATTACGCTCCCCACTACAAAGGATCTTATTTTCCTAGGAGGAACAAGGAAATCATGCCAGGAGCAAAATAATATATCACATTCACAAGACGAAGCTTCCCACAGAGTTAAAGCCAACCTTACGTCTTATGAAATTATCCAATCCATCAACCAAGCCCACAGCGGGGCTCTCAAGTTTCCAATATTCCACTTCTCCCGGGTAGCAGGAGAGAGGAAGGTGGAAGCAACGAACGAATAAAGTATATTGGCGTCAATCACGAGAAAGTGAATTTAAAGCCCATCTCTGAGCAAAGTCATCCCTCTCAATCCATCTGACCACTCTGCTTGCACCCATTCATGAGTCAGCAGTCATGTGACCCTTGGCGGGACATCTTCTAGTAGTGAAGACTGGTGATCCGCCTTTGCAGCCCATGTCTGGTCTTGCCGCCCCTTGCACCATGATTTAATCATGCAAATAATTGAAGTCTTTGGGACCCAGTAAGGACTCCGCCAATGGACTCTTCTTCCAGCCAATGTCCAATATGTCCATGCAGCACTAAGTGAATATATAGCTCATCTCTGGCCAAAATTATCCCTCTCAATCCATCCTACCCTGTTTGCACCCATTCATGAGTCAGCTATCATGTGTTACTTGGCGGGACATCTTCTAGTAGTGAAGACTGGTGATCTGCCTTTGCAGCCCAAGTCCGGTCTTGCTGCGCCCCTTGCACCATGATTTAATCATGCAAATACTTGAAGTCTTTGGGACCCAGTAGGGCCCCCGCCAATGGACACTTCTTCCAGTCAATGTCCAAAAAAAGTCCATGCAGCAGTAAGTGAATTTATAGCCCATCCCTGGCCAAAATCATCCCTCTTAATCCATCCACAAGTCAGCTGTCATGTGATCCTTGGCAGGACATGTTCTGGTAGTGAAGAACGGAGATGCGTCTCTGCAGTCCAGGTGCGGTTTTGTTGCCCCTTGCGTCATGATTTAATCTGAAGTACTCAAAGTCTATGAGACCATTCCTACAGCCAATGGGATTGTTCCATCAACAGAGAGCGAAGTGGACAGTTTAAAGTCCACACCCTAAAAAAACCTTTTTTTCCCTTCATTTTGTATAGAATGGACAAGTAGGTTACTTGTTGGGGAAGGGGGTCCCCATTAGAAGATGTCTCTATTATGGTTTTGATGACAACTCAAAATTTTGGATTTTCCCTCATCCTGGTGACAGTGGGCACCAGGACAAATGGAGAGTGCAAACCTACCCCAGCGCAGGCAGCAATAAAAACCCGACAGCGGTTCTAACCCTTTCACACTCCATTCAAAAGAAAAAACATTTTGGTTTTAGACACAGTTTAAGATATAGGGGCTGATCTATAAATCTCTCACCCAGCCACTCGATGGTAGTTCAACATAAGCTGGAGAAGGTGAAACACAGATATCAAATACTACATAGCCATCTGAACAATCAGCATTTCCGTGGCAGCAGCTACATCCATTATAAAGTAATTCCCTGGCATGCTATTGCATTAGTGTCCTATTTTAGCTGCTGAAATTCAATATAAAGTCACTTGCACTCCAAATCGATGCCAAGTCTGTCTCTTTATTGACTATGGCAGCGTCACATCTTTTTCTGTTTGCCTGAAGAAGGGACCACTAGGTTCCGAAACGTCGCTTTGAGATGTGACGCTACCATAGTCAATAAAGAGATTGACTTGGCATCGATTTGGAGTGCGAGTGACTTTCTACTGAATTTCCATATGGTTTGTCACTGCTGCACCCACCCTGCTTTTGGGTTTCTTTCTGGTCAGGGGTGCGGTGGGACACACTTTGTCTATTTTAGCTGCGGGCCCTGCCGATAAAACCCTTCTACGCTTTCTTTACCCCATAACAAGTTGGCGCTGACCTCTTCTCCCCGTCCTTAAGCCTTTCTTTTTTAATTTTGGATATAGCAGGAAAGGGTTAAAACTGCTATTTTTTTTTATTTGCCATCTGTGTCTCATTAGGGAGATTTCCCTTCAGTTCCTGTGGTGAGAGCATATCATTCCAATGTGAGGGAAATCTCCTCTTAAGGTGGCCATACACTGTACAACCATCGCAAGACCTTAGTCTTGCGATGGTTGTAAAGTGATTAAAAAAACGTGCAATCTGCCCATCTTGGAGAGGCAGATCGTACTCTCGATCATCGCAAGCCCGCCCCCCTGAGGGGCGGGCTTCCGATGACCGCAATGCTGAACGGGCAGTGTGCACACCGGCCCGTTCGGCATTTGTCTCCCGAGCACCGTTCAAACCAGCCAAAAATCGTACGATTCTCGGCTGGTTTTCTAGCATGCTCCTTAGACAAAAGACGTGCGGCCGTACAGTAGAAACGGTCGCACGCCTTCGTTCACACTGCTCGATTCTCGTACAATCGCGGGATTTCCCGCGATTCTCGCACGAGAATCGAGCAGTGTATGGGCACCTTAAAACAGTTGTCCTGAAAACAGGTCTCTCTATTGAAATATTTTCCTCTGTTCCTGTTCTGGTGTCAAATTTTGGAATCACCTTTGGTTTATTTCCCGGCCACACTGGAGATAAGGACAATTAAAAGAGTGGGGATGTCCCTAAACGGGGGCACAGACAAGGATATTAACCTGACAGGGGTTGTACCTGTGTAGGGAAGTGCTAGCCCTCAGAGAGGTCAAGTCATACCTGCATGTCCAACCTTCCTCCTCATAGGCCCATGGTCTGCTAGTTTAATTTTGGGGGAACTGGCAGCGCATGAAAACTAAGCGGGTGACCAGTTGGCCATGCTGGGACTTGCGGTTGCTCAGCTGTGGGACCTCTTCGCTTTACCTAGGCTTGCAGAATTCTCTACAGAATCTAAAAGGAAGAAATCAGTTTGAGGGCAGCTGAGAATGGCGGAAAAATGAGCTTGAAACGTCATGAAATGCAGGCAGCGAGCTCTGAGCCTTTACAAGGAGAGTGTTGTCATCAGAGCTGCTGTGAGTGGGAGGAGGGAGAGCTATAAAGCTAGGAGGCAGCAGAACCTGGAGCAGTTCTACTGAGATCAAGCATTGGAGCAACAACACTAATACACAGCACTGCTACCAGCACAGCCAAGAGGGAGCACTATTGGTGCCAGCACAGAAGCAGCATTACTGGTACCAGCACAGAAGCAGCATTACTGGTACCAGCACAGCACACTGCACAAAAGTGGTACTGGTGCCAGCCACAGCACCCAATGCAAGAGCACTAGCGGTGCCAGCCACAGCACCCAACGCAAGAGCACAACTGGTCTCCAGCACAGTCCAGTATCCAGCAAAGGAAACTACTGGTACCAGCACAGAAGCCTCGCTACTGGCCGCCAATACAGCCTAGTACCTTGTACAGGAGCACTACTGGTACCAGCACAGCCTAATACCAACCACAGAAACACTACTGTCCCCAACACATCCCAGTAAACTGCACAGGAGCACCATTGTTACCAGCACAGGCCAATACCCTGCACAGGAGCACTACTGGTCCCCGCACAGCAGATGGACTATTAGCATTATACAGCTGAGCAGCTGATTTGGGCATCCCCACACCTCGGCATTCCAATACATTGCTCCTACTCCTGCAGTCGCCACTGCGCAGCCTCCTCCAGGATCTCAGCCTGGCATCTGACTAATCTGGGCCCCCCAACTGCAAGCAGAGCGAAGTGCCATGTCCTCTGCGGTCCTGCCAGCCAAGCCCGCGGAGCCCCTGGGCTACCAAACAGTGATGCCCCACTACAGCGGAGCGAGCGAGGAGTACCCCCAGCCCATCCAGCCCCGGGCGCTGAAGGGTAAGGGCAAGCTGCGGAGAGCCCGGCAGAGCCGCTTTAAGACCCAACCGGTCACCTTCGATGAGATCCAAGAGGTGGAGGAGGAAGGCTTGTCACCCACTGAGGAGGAGAAAGCCAGAAAGTCCTTCCTGCAGTCCCTGGAGAACCTGAGAAGGAGCTCACACAGCATGCACCTCCAAAGGGACAAGCTCAGCAGCTGCAAACTCCGCCACAGCCTGGATTCCAGCGACTCAGACTCTACCCTGTGAGTTGGCAACCCCTTCCAACCCCCATGGCAAACAGAGGGTTAATTGTCCCTCCAAGAAGCCCCAGCTTTCCAGCTAAAAGAGCTTTTCCATGTGCTGCCACTGGGGACCACTAGAGGGCGCAGCAGGGGCCAGTAGCCAACACAGCTGGACTGGGCTATTAACTATGTGATGTCCAGGGTGGCATGGACCCTGATATGGCACCTGGCATTGAAGGAGTTAAACCATTGACTGGACTCTTAAGTGGCTAATGTAAGTTTGGCAGTGAAGGAGTTAGGTGTCTACTTTGGACTGAATGGACAAGTAGGTTACTTGTTGGGAAGGGGGTCCAAAGTCTGATTTTTGCAAAACCCCCTCCTCCAGGGTGTGCGCTCTAGCTGTGTATAGTAAACGGTTAAAGCTATTTTTGTAAAATTTAGATAAAAAGGCGAGGAAATCATATATGTATAAATTATTTATTTTTGCACCTGCAACGCTTGTCTCCATTTGTTACCTATATTTGTATAAAGATCTATTTACATTGAAATTTATTTTAAATAAACACCATGGCAAAGTGTCTGTCTGCAGAGGAGTCATTTTTAAAAAGGTAGGGGGGGTAATGGGGTCCAAGAGGCTCCAAAAGTGCCGGTCTGGGGGGTAAAAGGATTTTTAGGTCTATAATTCAGGATACCTGTACCCAGAGAAGGTCGGAGGCTGATCAGCTTCTACAAATGTTACCTGCCTGGCTGTTTCCAGATTCAGTAGGCTTTGAGTCAGTGACCTGAATGCAGCCAGTGAAAGGAGATGGCTGATCTGCATATTTGTAGGGTTGATGTGCTAAAGGTGTAATGACTGTTCAAGGGGAACATTTATAAAGTAGTTCATGTGGCATTTAATATCAAACATTCACTGCAGGTGAATCTTCCTAGTGCATGTGTCTTGCATGATGGTGATTGTTGCATCACCAGTGAATGTTTGGGGAAAATCACATTACTGATTTATGAACATGCCCCTAAATTTGGTTAAAAAGGTGAAGCTGATGAAACATTTAAAATGTATATTTTATTTTTTTAGATTTTATATTAATAATAATTCTTTTTAATTCTATTATATTTTATAATTTATAATAATTCATTTTATTGATGACGACGATTTATCCCTTTTTATATGTAATTGTGCATTCAAAGTGAACACAGGTTCATCTAATTTGTGAACCTTTTTCTACTCCTTTAGAAAATCAATCCCATTGACTCATTATCCAAAGGACAGCTGGCCAATGGCAGCCCATGTATTCGCCCGGTAGAGTTCTTCTTTAAGATTCAGTTCACCAGAAACCCCCCAATACTGTTTCCAGTTTACGATGAAGAGTTAAATCTGAACTCTGTGCAAAAGTGTTCTTAACCCTTGTAGTGGGGCTACCCCCTGCACTGCAAAGGGTTAATTGCTCGTTTTTGTCTAGTTATATTTGGGTATACACGCCCCAACCACAGAGCTCACTGGCTGCTACTCTGGTCCCTGGAGCCTGTCCCCTATTTTCGCTGCAGAGTCTAAGGATCCTGGAGTCACCACATTCTATACACCGTGTATAGGACATGGGGGTGCTGAGGGCCATACCATTGCTGCAGAGGGGGAGGGCCATACCATTGCTGCAGAGGGGGAGACGCGCCTCAGGGACTGTAGAATCATCGAGCTGGCTATAGCACCTAGACAAAAATGAGCATTTAACCCTTGCTGTGCAGGGGGGTAGCCCCACTACAAGGGTTGAGAACACTTGCCCAGAGTTCTGCTTTAAGCAAAGTGGCAGTTAATGTGCCCCCGAGCGGGGGAGGGGGGCGGAGTCTATTGCTTGAAGTCTTACTGAGCCTGTGGACTATATCTTTTTTAATAAACACTGTGTATGCTTTTTGGCGCATCAAACCGTTCATTTTTTTTAATGAGCCCTCGACGTGCTTCAAAAAAGAGACCTGTCTGGTTTTTATATATTTTTTCAGAGCCCCAAAAAAGTAACATGTTTGCTCTTTGAGGGCCCATTTACATTTCTGTGGTGTGCTAGCTTGCGTTATGTTGTGCATTAATATGTGTAGCTTTAAAGGAGAAGTATGAGGTGAGTGCTTTTCACTCACCTCATAGTTCTAGCCGACCTGTGACAATGAGACTGTCACAGGTCGGCTCAGTAGATCTGGAGGTGAGCGAACACATACCGGCGTTCGCTCACCTCTCGATCCTGTCACGGCTCTCTGCCGTGACAGGGAGGGGCTGGATTCCCCGCTCCCCGCTCCTATCCGTCAGCGCTGGCTGGCGGGTACAGCTGGCTCTGCCTCTAGATAGGCAGAGCCAGCTGTCAGTCACGCAGCTGGCCGGATCGCGGCACAATTGTCTGGATCCGCTTCAGCTGTGGCGTCTCAGTATACCGCGATCAGCAGCTCGCGGTATATTGCGGCGTCTGAGTATGCTGCGAGCTACAGCTCTCGGTAAACTGAGCCTAGGCTGACGGGAGGACGCTAGTTTTTGTCCCACTGTTACACTAAGGAGAACTATGGGGAAAAGCCTTAACCCCATAGTTCTCCTTTAAGGCAGCCCAATAAGGATAATGGGGTGCCAACTCACTCGCATGCCCTGAAAACCAGATGCAGCCCAAAATTTGCAATGCACCTCAATGCACTATGGTGTGTTGCAATGCATGTGCGTTGTCTTAGTGAATCGGGGTGCCAATCATGTAACGTGCATTGCAATAGTGTATATGTCTGTGTGTTGGGGTGCCATTGGAAGTGAATGGCAATACATGGGCACGACATGCTGCTGTTCTTCACATTACCACTTGGTACCGAGGTAGCCTATTGCTGGCCGACGCTAAGGGTACATTTACGCGCATGTTGTAATACGCATGTAAATGTGCCAAGGAACTCTTTAGCGTCAGCAGGCATTTGGCAACTGAAATTGATGCTCTACACCAGGTGTCGGCAACCTCATCACTTCAGCTGTTGTGGAACTGCAAGTCCACTGCAAGACTTGACAGCCACAGGCGTGACTCCCAGAGCAGAGGCTTTATGGGATTTGTAGCTTCATCACACCCGGAGTGCAGAGGTTGCCATACGCTTTTTTTAATTTTATTTTAAAAGGAAAGGTTAAAAAAATCCTTTCAGCTCTAAAAGGCGCCATAAATCCTAAGCTTGCAGTGGTCTCTAGGTGTCCGCTGCAATTCTTTAAGACACACTGGCTGCTGAGGTTGTTAAAGACTGAATATGTCTTAGGCTGGGCACACACCTTACAACCATCGCAAGGTACTTAAAAAAACGTACGATCTGCCTATCTTGCATAGGCAGATTGTACTTGCGATGATCACAAGCCACGCCCCCTGAGGGGCGGGCTTCCGATGACCGCAATGCCGGACGGGCAGTGTGCGCTTGCGCACACCGGCCCGTATGGCTTTTATCGTATGAACATGCCACAAACCCGCCGAACGTCGTATGATGCTCGGCGTGTTTCCGAACATGTCCGTAAGTTAAAAGTCGTGCGACCTTACAGTAGTAGAGGTCGCACGGCTTCCACACACCTTACGATAATCGTACGATTGCGGGATTTCCCGCGATGATCGTAAGGTGTGTGGGGACCTTTATACATAAGTCTGTTCAGTCATTGTACACACAGGCTCCAAGCTTTAGTTTCGAGCAGCTTTGTCAAAGACTTAGTCCTATATTTGACATGGGCAGCCGTGGGGGAATATCGGCGAATTATGCTGGCGTAGAAACTGGACGCGTGTATGGCGCGCAGTCTGAGCCAATAGCTGCGGCCAGGGCCAGATTTACTTTTTTTTTAATTTATCTTTTATCTATAATTTTATATTTAATCTTATTTTTTACTTTTAATCCCCTTTTTGTTTTTTATTTTTGTTTTTTACTTCACTTTATTGCTATCACACAGGAGCTAACAATCCCCCGTGTGGTAGCATTTGGAGGTGACAGGTTCTTTTTATTGAATCTGTCACCTCCAATTCAGGAGTTCTAGCACAGCACTGTGCTGGCTGTCCTGTGACAGCTGAGAGGGGAAGACTGCGAGTGCAGCTCTCTCTTCTCTGTGTTTACACGGAGCAGAGCAGAGAATGGACGTTCACCGCTCTTCTCCCCATCCTGAGGATCGCCGGCTGGCGGAGAGAGGTACACTGCGGGGACGACACACCTGCAGGCTGCATACAAGTGATATCAACAACATTGCCGAGATCACTTGTAAACGAACGAACAGTTTCCCCGCTGTACATTTAGCCCTGCTTGCCCAAAGCAGGGCTAAATGTAGAAAACTACCCGCCTGGTGCCCAGAACTGCATGTCCCAGGCAGCAGGAGATTCCACACCCCTGCTGCCCTGAGGCTGGGCGTCGGTGGCCTTGTGGGAAATCCGGTCCTTGCCACGGCTAGCACCGGTTTGGCCAGATGTGTACAAATCAATGGCTGGCGCCGCTGCTGTTCATCCAAGCGGTCACATGCAATTTGGATCTCTGACCATCTCTAGACACAGTCTGTGTCCAGGGACAGTGGTTCTGGCCACGCATGTACTGGATGCAGCTCATCGTTTGTATGCGGCCATAGCATACCTGCTGCATCCAGATGCTGCTGCCGCCCAGGTGAATGAAGTCATAAAAGCAACCTACAGCCCCATTGGCAGATTTTAAAGTGGACTCCATGCAAAGTACGCTTACTTTAATGTGTAAGGACCCGTCCCCCATGTTAATCTGCTGCAAAATAAATGTACCTTAACCTTTCCCCCGCCTTCCATGGTGCAGGGGGTGACGTTGGCATCCTTCGGGGAATGGCAAGCAGCGCAGGTCTTGTGAGATGACCCCACAGTCCTGTGCCGTAGATTCATCTTATGAGATTTGGGCTACTCAGCATCCCCAGGACCTTGCCTGAAGCATCCCAATGCCAACCCTCATCTAGGTGCCACAGGCAGAAGTGGAGTGGCATATGCACACGTGTGTACCAGGGCTTAAAGCAGGGGTGGGCCTACAGGTCACATGGGGCATTGCAAGACTGACAGTTACAGGCATGACTCACAGAGGCATGTTGGCTGCAGTTGCCCACCCCTTGGCTTAAAGTCTTCATCAAACCTGCTCTGAGCTTGCTGACCACTTACTGTATTCCCTTTCCTGCCCGCTTACTGTATTCCCTTTCCTGCCCGCTTACTGTATTCCCTTTCCTGCCCGCTTACTGTATTCCCTTTCTTCTTTACAGACGCATTTTTTGTGCACGTTGTTTGGTGACCGCCAATTTCCCTTAAAGAAGCTCTGGACCCGATCCCGTGTAGACTTTGCCATGTCAATGTAATTATGAAAGTTATTATCCTGTTTGAATCTGCAGCTTTCATTGAAATAGCCCCTGTGGATCCTGCCATGAAGATCTTTGTTCAGTAACTTCCTCTAATGGGGTGACAACTGTCTCCTAAGTCTGCGCCTGCGTTGTCACGCATGACTTTGATGGAGGCATGGTCCAACATTGTCACTTGGAGCTGGTCCTGAGCATCAATGTGCAGCCGGCACTGGAGAAAATGCATGTAGGAATTGGCTGAAAGAGGCCGGAAGAGA